TGCAGCTTTATCTCTTTTGGCAATGATTTCTTACTTGCTTTCGCCCCAAGGGAGAATGACTGGCGAGCCAAACCCTAAACCCTAAACCCTAAACCCTGTGTGCAACATGGAGATCCCTGGATAACGCACGCCGAAGGCTAGAAGGCGCAAACCCTAAACCCTAAACCCTAGAAACCCCGTGCTTTCTCCAGCGATGTCAGGGAACGTCCAGGCCCAAACCCCAAACCCTAAACCCTAAACCCTATCCCGGGGGTTTGCAGCAGCAGCGCGGGAAAGTTTGGAAGCGTGCGAGGGTTGCGAGGGTTGCGTGGGTGAAACCCTAAAAAAGGGTTTGTGGTTTGCTGCTTGCAGGGATTTCCGCGTTTTTTTGTCTGAGCGAGTTGTCGACTCCTTTGCTGCACCTGCGGTGGTTTCTGCTGCAGCACAAAACCACAAAAGGGTGTTTATTTCGGGTTTGCAACTGCGGAGCTGCTGCTGTTTTCATTTTGTACAGATTAATAATAATGCCTTTGCTGCTGCTGCACCTGGCTGCGGACTGGGCCGCGGGGTGTACGTACACCGCAGCTGCCAGCCCCCTCCGCAAAACCTCTTTTGCTGCTTCTTGCTGCTGCTGGCTTTTCCTGAAGTTCTACTGGGGCTTTCTGTTCCTCAAAACCCTCCAAAAACCCAGAACCAAACGCGAGTAAACCCTAAACCCTAAACCCTACTCAAACCCTAAACCCTCCCAGCCAGCCCCTGGAGCCTCCCGCCGCCCCCAAACCCTAAACCCTCGCGGCGGCTCCAAACCCTAAACCCTCGCGGCGGCTCCAAACCCTAAACCCTCGCGGCGTTCCCAACTGTGTGGCCAAAGCCCGCCTGCAAACCCCAAATTTCAAACCCTCGCGAGGCCTCTGAGCCCTAAACCCTCAAGCACAAACCCTAAACCCTTCTTCGGGCAGGGCCTGCGCGAAAGCAGGGCTTGGGGTCTAGGGTTTAGGGTTTAGGGTTTAGGTCTTAATGCGCTCTTGTCCTTTTCTCCTTCTCCTGCTTCTTCAGCAGCAGCAACTAGCGGGGGCTGCTGCCAGCGGCTAGCCAACTCGTGGCTAGCCAGCTAGCTAGCTATCTGGCTAGCTAGCTAGCTAGCTAGCTATCTGGCTAGCTAGCTGGCTAGTTATCCATGCTCTGCGGGCCTGGCTAGCTAGCTAGCTATCCGCGCTCTGGGGGCCTGGTGGTGGGCCAACTATGGCCCCAGCTAGCTGTGGCTAGCTGCGGCTAGCTGCAGCTAGCTGTGGCTAGCTGTGGCTAGCTGCAGCTAGCTGTGGCTAGCTGTGGCTAGCTGCAGCTAGCTATGTCTAGCTGTGTTACCCCGTGGCCCATTGGGCTGCGTGGGGAGGGCCACTCGCGTAGGCCCTAAACCCTAAACCCTAAACCCTCAAGCGCAAACCCTTTTTTGGGGTTTTCCTGCGACATTCGTGGGGCCTGGTGGGGCCCCTTTCGCTAGCTAGCCAGGCAGCCACAGCTAGCCACAGCTAGCCAGATAGGCGAGGCTAGCCATAGCTAGCCACAGCTAGCCACAGC